CCTTGAGATTTCGTCTTTCTCAAGACTGAGAAATGTTTGCAGAAAGCCGCCCTTTTGTGGTCGGCTCATGGCTTCCCTGTTTCCAAGTTTGTTCCACGTTCCTTCACAACTCCCAAGGATTATAAAATCCCTCTATCCAAGTCTCTGTCCCTCATGCGTGCGCGCGCACACGCACACGCACGCGTGCACACACACCCACAATTACACACTCCCTGAACAGCGCATTGGTCCAAAGCCAGCTTCTCTTTCTGCTGTAGAAGATTTCCCCCTGCTTTGGAAGTCGAGATCTAAAAAAATGATAGGAATCTGATTGAAAACTGGCTGGCTAGCTGCTGCCTGTGTGTATGTCTTTGTCTGTCTGTCTGTCTGTCTGTCTATCTATCTATCTATCTATCTATCTATCTATCTATCTATCTATCTATCTATCTATCTTATCTACACTATCTATCTACAATATCTACCTGCCTGCCGCTCTCTTTTTTCTGTCTGTCTGTCTGTCTGTCTGTCTGTCTGTCTGTCTGTCTGTCTGTCTCTCTCTCTCTCTCTCTCTCTCTCCGCTATCTAAGCTATCTATAGTTATCTATCTACCCCCTTCTCTCTGCCTGCCTGCCTGCCTGCCTGCCTGCCTGTCTGTCTATCTACCAACCACCTTAATGATATTTGCTTGAATATCTCTTCCATACAGAACTGTGAGCCCGGAGCTCAAATCATACGCTTTAGGAGTTCTCTTCCTTCTCCTCCGATTGTTAGGTGAGTGAAATTCGTGCTTTCTTTTGTTCCCCTCGGCTTCTCCGGAGAAGCAGGGATTCCTGATGAAAGATGGACCTGGATGATGAACCCAGATTAGGTCCAGTTGGAGACGTGAGCAGCTTCCCACCTCCGAGTGTCCTCCAAATGTTTTGTATTATATCACAAGTGGGTCATTTTTGCAGTGGTTGGTTCCTCCCCTTGATGCAAGTTCTGTAGAAATCAATCCTGTATGAATATGATGCATGACTTCTCCGAACCTCGTCTGAATTTTCTGGATTTGCACAATAGACTGAACTATAAACCAATCAACATATTGTGTTCTCTCAACACATTGCACTACAGAACACTAACCAGACTTAACCACTAGCCAAATTTCACATTGTACACATTCAGATATAGGTCTGTAACTATTCATATCTTTCCCTTGTCAGATCTGTAGGAGGTTGATTTCAACGGGGGTGTAGTGTCAGTATTTCCAGAACAGCATCGCTGCTCTTAGTTTTCAGGGTGACCTCCCTCCTAACATCACTGTCTGATCCAGCAGATGTTCCTCTTATGTTTGTTGAGAGTCTAGATCAGGAGTGTGAAACTCAAGGCCCAGGGACTGGATCCAGCTCATCGGGTGCTTAGATCTGGCCCATGGGGCTGCCCTGGAAACAGTGAAGGACCAGACCGTGGTGGCTCTGCCAGTGAAAATGGAGCTCAGGAGGGCTGCATGTGGCTCTCTCGAGCGCTCTTTTCATTGGCAGAGGGTTGCAGGAGGCCTTCGTAGCTAAAAATTGAGCCCAGGAGCCTGTTTTCACTGGCAGAATGCTCGGGCCACACAACCGACATGAGTGGCATCGATCTGGCCGTGCCCATCCCGGCCCCCCAAAGTCAAACACAACCCTGATGCGTCCCTCACTGAAAACGAGTTTGACATCCCCGGTCCAGACATTTCAGAGAACATTGTCGACATTAAAAATAAATAAATAAATCTCTCCTTCTACCTTCGCAGGCTTTATCCCACCTCCCCTGATCTTTGGAGCAGGAATTGATTCCACCTGCCTTTTCTGGAGCACTTTCTGTGGTGAACAAGGAGCATGCGCCCTATATGACAACGTCATCTATAGGCACCTATACGTGAGCATCGCTATTACCCTGAAGTCGCTGGCGTTCCTCCTTTATGCCACAACCTGGCAGTGCCTGAGGAAAAACTATAAGAAATACATCAAGAACCACGAAGGTGGGCTAAGCACTACTGAGTTCTTTGCATCCACGTTGACCCTGGATAACCTAGGACGAGACTCTCTAGGCCAGAATCCCTCTCACAGGACAAAATTTATCTACAACCTTGAAGACCATGAATGGTGTGAAAACATGGAGTCCGTTTTATAGTGATTAGAAAGGCGGATGGCTAACCCAAAGGTTCCTTTTGGAAGGAAGATATTTTTTTTTTTTTTTTGTGAAAGGTGTAATATATCCATACAAAGATGTTTCGGGGAAGTCTAAGCAAAACCGAGCCCACAGCTCTTTCAATACCTTATCATTACGTTCCAGGAGCTTCTCCGGAAGAAGAGGACCATTCGTCCTTTGCTCCAAAAGCAGAATAAACCAAGACGAGGGGAGAAAGGGTAAAAGACCAATCTGGAGTGAGAAATGGCGATGCCAAGTGGACCATAAGTGTATCGAATGCCTTGGCTGGAAACAGAACAGATGGGCAACGCTGCCAGTGTTTGGGGACCTGGTCTTTCACTGGAAAACAGAGCAGATGTCTGTCCTTTGGTGGGAAGGCAAACCCATGAAAAGACAATTCCCAATGAGGAGGGGAAAGAGCAGAAGCCACAGCTGTTTCCAAAAAATAAGTGCTATGTGAAACTGAAGCAACCAGTCTTGGAGTAACCTTTGCAATACAAGCTTAAAAGACGACCACAAGGGTGCTATGCAGACCTTTTCACACTCTCCATCTCTTGCTCTCTCATATCACAGGAAGCCTGGGCCAGAACGTCTTCCCCTTTATTGTCTCCAGCTGCAAGACCATAAGATCAACCTCAACAGCTGTTGAAATGGGCAAACCAATAGACGTGTCCGGTACAAGCCATGATGACGTCAAGTTGACATCACGTGCTGAACAAGAGCTTACATCCCGAATAGATGCTGAATTAAGATTAGATAGGCTGCATCAATTGCACACGTCACCGTTCGGATGCCATTGTGACTTGTACCCAACACACTTGACGCAACTGCAACATTACAGTTCTTAAGACACCAGCATTGCTTTTCTTAAACTATTGGGGGTGGGGTGATCTAGTTCCATTTTGGTATGGGAATCGGGGCATTGTGCGTGCGTTTGTGTGTATGTGTGCAGTTGTGAGGGACAGAGCACAGGATAACTCTGGCCAAAGAGTCAATAACTTTTTCAACTTTGAGCAGGGTTGAAGTGGTACGTAGGTCAGCATGGCCAACGTTGCCACTGAAAATGGGCAGAGCAGGTCTGGTTGAGCCATCACTGCCTTCTAAACATCTGTACATTTTTCTAGTTTTGTGTCGGCACTGGAAAAGGAAAGTTTTTCAGTCCAGTTTCCATTTGAATCACAATATTGCTACCACAGAGAGAAAGAGAAATTACCCACTTTATTCCCTGAGCTGCTCAGCTATTCAGCCTCCCCAGTTTAAAAAAAAAAAAACGGTTGCAAAACTTTAAACTCCCTCCAATGGAAGCTCCAATATGTTTTTGACCTTAGAAAAAAATGAATAAGCTGATAAATATATGTGCCTTTTTAAAGAAAAAAAAATAAAGATGTTTGCTTTGCAAGAGTCAGAGGGAGAGAAAGTAGCCCACCTGTCCTTATCATAGGAAAGAGATGTAGGGTGTACTTTGTAGCCCTGGAGCAAAACCTCAGAGAAATCCCTTTCCTTAACAGAATAACAGAGTTGGAGGGGACCTTGGAGGTCTTCTAGTCCAACCCCCTGTTCAAGCAGGAGACCCTATTTCTGAGTGACGAAACAGAAAATCTGTTTGAACTGCTTGCTTTTCGAATGCCACTCACTAAAGTCCCTAAATACACTGGTGCTCTCTTAAAACTTTTAAGTAGCACTTTCCTTTGGCTAAAACGAGAGAGAATTCCCTAAGATGGTTAACTGTCCCTTGCTGTCATAATGCCCTTGGGCGGCGGGGGGGTGGGGTGTCTCCAGAACAGAAAAGGCATTCTGGGAAAAATAACAGCAGCCAGCTGGCTCCCTCGAGATGGGTTGCTCTCCTTTCACATTGTCACAAAGGGAGCATGCTTTCCAACGAGGAAAAGGCAAACTTTTTATACGTCCTATTTATTGAGGCATGCCTCCCAGATGGGCTGCTCGTCTAAAAAAAAAAAACCCCACATTGCATGCAAAGGATTGGTGGCGTTTTCTATAGAATGTACTCCTTCGCCCACATATCTGTATTTAACCATGATCATTATTGGTAGATCCCAGTTCTGGACTAACCCTTTCCCTGCTGGGACCCTTCCTCAGATTCTGAATCTTCAAAGAAAAACAAGAAAGTCCAGTTGCCTGTTGAAAATAGTACCTTTGGGACCAGATTCCGAATATTTTCTACTTCTTCCCACTTTGATTTGCAGCAAAGGCACATCCACCATAAAGGAGGATTCAGAGATTTATACTTTATTATATAGTATATTTATAATATATTCCGCTGGGAGAGGCATATATTTCGAAGGACCCACATTAGCTTTGTGCCCTTTTTTTCTTTCTCTATTGCTCTTGATTTAATCTTTTCTCTTCTTGGACATTGAAATCAATGTATTTTGTTTAAAAAGCGAGGCGCTGAAAAAGAAACACCACGAAGCGAGAGAAGAATTTACAGATGTTTTACCTTTTAAAATTGATTTTTCTCACGCTGAGTTGGGGTTGTGAGACTTTGCTGAACGGGGTAGCAGGAGGTAAATGTATTTCGATTTCAACCGTGATCTTTGAGTGATCTTTGAATTTAAGTGTCCACAGTGACTGTGTTCAGATAGTTCTTCAACCTTGCTCTGCCTTGGCTAATGTTGACAGATGACAATGAAGAACTCCAGATGGCTCCATCTGTGGTTTGTTTACCATTATTGCCAAACCAGTATCCTTGGCTTGTTTCTCTTGCGACAAGCCAGTCCCAGCTGAAGAAAAAAACATGATACAGTCTGCCAAACCCAAACCAACACCCAGCCTCATTTTCATGGTTTGGGAGCAACGTCGGAAGCCAATTCTGATTTTACCCATGGTGCTGGAAACAGTGAGCTGAATTCCCAGGAACTAAGCGTAGGATCTCAAGAATAGCTCTGTACTTCCAAAGAGGTTGCTAGATGTTATTTCTTATGTTATTTCACATAAACTCCCTTTCTTTGTGCTGTCCCATAAAGTTGAACCTACAGTTCTAAGAGAAGACGTCCAAACTCCATTGTGCATATCTGTTTGGATCCATAGGGACATCGAGCCAAAATTTAAATTCTGTAAGGCATGTGTTCTTCTTACTCTAATCCAGAAAAGCATCTGTTTTGCAATGCTCAGCTCTTTTAAAAAAAATATAGGCATTTTAAAATTAGAAATGTGAAGTAGAACTGTTTGATCTATTGGATGAGACTCCAAGGTTAGATTTGCAGACATGATCGGACACAAACTTTTATGCAGCTCTTGGAATTATATAGAGTTCTATCTTATACTACAGGATATACTTATATGTAGAATTATATCCTATGGTATAAGATATAATGTGTGAACTAAGCCAAAGAATTGCAACTTGCCAAACATTCCGAGTTCCCATCCCCTGCTGGCAGTGGAAGTTTCTGAAATATTTTAGGGGTAGCAAGTTGAGTGATATTTTTTTCCTTGGAGCAAAGAAAACTATTTTCATTCCATGGGATCCTCGGTGCTCTCTGAGCTTGGATGTTTTCTTGCAGACATTTCATTACCCAACTAGGTACCATCATCAGTGCTAGAAGGGAATAGGGTTTGTGGGGGAAGGAGGAGGGGGAAAACTGTGGACTCCTTGGTGCTCACTTGTTTTTCCTTGAAGACGTTTCTCATCTCTGAACTGAAGTGAATTTCTGAACTAACGAAGCTTCTTGGATGAGAAACATCTTCAAGGAAAAACCAAGTCCAGATGCCTTTTGAGAAAGCATCTTTGGGATTAACTATGGTCTGGACGACTGAGAATCTCCATAGATCTCATGTGTCTATACGGAGCTGATGATGATCAATATAGGGACAAGTGACATTTTTGAACGAGGGACTCTTTCAGCTGGTCATTTTCACAGCATGGTGCGTGGACGCAGGTATATCTCAGGTGAGAAAGGAACTACAAAATCTTTCCACTGCAATTTTTGTTCAAATGAATCCAGCTATTGACTTAAGTCTTAACTCTAACAAGAGCCACGGTGGCGCAGTGGTTAGAGTGCAGTACTGCAGGCTACTTCTGCTGCCTGCCGGCTGCCTGCAATTTGGCAGTTCGAATCTCACCAGGCTCAAGGTTGTTGCCTTCTGAGATTGGTAAAATGAGGACCCAGATTGTTGGGGGGAATATGCTGACTCTGTAAACCACTTAGAGAGGCCTGCAAAACACTGCAAAAACAGTAGATAAGTCTAAGTGCTATTGCTATTCTTCAAAAATATACTTTTCTTGTTGGCATTCCCATCTCTTTGTGTGTGGTTATGGATGCTTGAGAATATGGAGGGTCCTGGGGAGGTGAGTCAAAGCGTCAAACTGATCAAGATGGCAGCACAATGGCAGACCTGCCCTTTTCTGCACGCCCACAAAAAGTGGGGGGGGGGCTTCCATCACACGCGCATGGTTGCCATATTGGTTGCTTTCACTAATCCCTGTGAATACACTTATAGACCTAGGAAACACCTGTAGATCTAGATCTTTTTGTACCAAAGATGGGGATGCATCAAACTAGAGTCTAGGTATCCATAGCACACAAGGGACTAGAGGAAGAATTGGGTTGCTTCTTTTCAAACCCTCTTTTCAAAAAACATTCTTTTCTTCTTCCTCGGAGCTCCAGAACTCATCAATTGTGTTGTTGTGCTTTCTTACATATTTGTCATATTTTCCTCATACTTTATCCCTTCAACAGCTGATAGAGTGATACCGTTGGAAGAAGGTTAAGCCATTAGTCTCACCCTCTGCTCAGTGCAGGAATCGGGGGTGTCCATGGGGTATGGTCAGATAGTTAACAGATAACAGATAATCAGAGTTGGAAGGGACCTTGTAGGTCATCTAGTCCAACCCTCTGCCCAAGCAGGAGACCCTACACCATTTCTGACAAATGGCAGTCCAATCTCTTTTTGAAAGTCTCAAGTGATGATGTTCCTACAACTTCCAAGGCAACTTCTGTTCCATGGGTTGATTGTTCTCACTGTCAGAAAGTTAAGATAGCAGGCACCCTGATGTGATTGAATCTTTTTAATGTGTATCCCAAATTGCAATCCCAGTGAATAGAATAGAATAACAGAGTTATAAGGGACCTTGGAAGATTTCCAGTCCAACCCCCTGCCTAGGCAGGAAACCCTACACCACTTCAGACAAATGGTTATCCAACATCTTTTTAAAAACTGCCAGTGTTGAAGCATTTACAACTTCTGGAGGCAAGTTGTTCCACTGATTAATTGTTATAACTGTTAGGAAATTTCTCCTTAGCTTAAGTTGCTTCTCTCCTTAATTAGTTTCCATCAGTTGCTTCTTCTCCTGCCCTCAGCTGCTTTGGAAAATAGGTTGGCCCTCCTTCTTTGTAGCAACCCCTGAGATATTGGAACACTGCTATCATGTCACCCTTAGTTCTTCTTTTCATTAGACTAGCCATGCCCCGTTCCTGCAACTGTTCTTCATATGTTTTAGTCTCCAGTCCCCTAATCATCTTGGTTTCTCTTCTCTGCACTCTTTCTAGAGTCTCAACATCTTTTTTATATCGTGGCGACCAAAACTGAATGCAGTAATCCAATTGTGGCCTTACCAAGGCATTATACAGTGGTATTAACACTTTACATGATCTTGATTCTATCCCTCTGTTTATTGCAGCCTAGGACTGTGTTGGCTTTTTTGGCAGCTGCTGCACATTGCTGGCTCGTATTTAAATAGTTGTCCACCAGGACTACCACTTCTGGGGCTCATGACTTCCTCAAGAAGTGCTCTCAGAAATATAGAACCTAGAATAATAGGATTGGAAGGGACCTTGGAGGTCTTCTAGTCCAACTCCCTGCTCAAGCAGGAGACCCTATATCATTCCAGATAAATGGCTGCCAGTGATGGAGCACTCAGAACTCCTGGAGGTAAGCCGTTCCATTGATTAATTGTTCTCATTGTTAGGACATTTCTCCTTAACTCTTATATGTTGCATCTTTCTCTAATGATTTTCCACCTTTACTTCTTGCCCTGCTCTCTGGTGCTTTGGAGAATAGTTTGACTCCCTTCTTTTCTGGGACAGCCCCTCAAGTCCTGGAAGACTGCTATCACATCACTCCCAATCCTTCTCTTTGTTAGACATACCTAGTTCCCTCAATCATTCATTGTATGGTTTAGCCTCTGGAATCCTTATCATCTTTGTTGTTCTTTTCTGCATTCTAACCAGAATCTGTCTGCTGGTCATTTCAATCATTGTTTTGTTTTGTGTGCCTGCACTTTGAAATGAGAGAACAGGTTTGATCATCATAGGGCGAATCGCATTTTCCTTCATGGGACTTAGAACTCAGGCGTCTTCATTGCTCTTCCCCCGAATCTCTGTCTATTTCTTCAAATCCTTGGGAGTTCAAGGTCAAAAGAAATGGAATTTCAAAAGAAATGCTTCTTCTTTTAGAAGAATATCCTACTGTCATCTCTTAAGAGCTTCGGGTCCAGCAAGTGTTGCTTGGTGGGAGCCCTTGATGGAACGTTCTTCGGTGTCTGTTCTATTTATATCATAGTCCAACGTTGTTCAAGAAAGCAGGGTAAATTTGGAAGGCCGTGTCTTTGCACTTCTGTGTTTACATGGGCCTGTAGGAGACATGGATGGTTAAGCCGCTATTTAAGATGACTTTGAGCTGGCAAACTGCCTAGAAAACCTCCAGGGGATTCATTGTACATCCTTCATATGGCTTTTAGCTCTCTTTTTTTTTTCCAAGGCAGTCCAAAATTTGCAGGCCCACATTGCCAGCTTTGCAGGAACGTTAATTGTAAATGGAAAAGTGTGAGAGCAAGGTCACTGAGCAATGAAAAACAGCTTTTTAAAAAACAGCAAATAATGGGGTTTGGGTTTTTTTTTTTTTTTTGGTATGCAAATCCCTTCCCTTCCATTTAGCTAAAAAGCGAAGGGAGAACTTTTCTGAAGCAGACACAATAGCCTTGAAGTC